AGAGTTGTCTGGAGAGGCTGGAGAAGATGCTCAGCAGCACCAAGAACCGCGCCCTGATCCACATCGCGAAGCTGGAGGAGACGTGTAGGTCCTGCCCCTGCCCTGCCCCGTGGCGGCTGGCCCTGGGGAGATGGCGTTGCCACCTCTCCCTTCCCCCTGCCCGGCTCCTGCCGCATTGTCCCTGCGCCAGCCCATCCATCTTCCAGCCCTGTTGCTGTAACTGTCTCCTCCCTGGCTCCGTGCCACCCTCTGCCCCCTCCCCTCCCTCCACGCTGCCCTTGGAAGAGGAGCAGAATTAATGCGAAGGCTGCGGGAGCTGTTCCTGGGCGTGTGGCGGGCCCTGTGCTCTGCCAGCCTGCTTGGCCCGGCCCCGCACCACCTGCGTCTGGCCAAGAGGCCGTGCCAGGCCGAGCCTGAAGCAGGAGCTGCTGGGTGGCACGTAGACCCTAGGCTTGGGCTCACAGAGGTGGCCCAGCGTGCAGCCCCAGCCTTGTCAGGCCCCCTGTGGTGCAGTGGGCCTTGGGGCCAACTGTCCAGCTTCTCAGCGTGCCCCTGATCACCTGCCCTCCCTCCACAGCCTCCTGGAGCATCGTGGAGCAGTCCCTCGTCAAGCTGGGGGAGAGCCTGAACGGCCTCAGCAGCTCCCCACTGAGAAGCCAGGCTGATGACTGCATCTCCCTCATCAAGAGGTACCTTTGTGCTGCTGTCTGCATGGGCTCAGGGTGAAACTGGTCTGAGCCCTGCACTGGGGGAGCTGAGAACCTCCTGCAGATCTGACTCCCTGCTCTCCTGCCCCTTCCCAGCTTGGACCTCTGCTCCAGCAGTGGGCTGTGGATGGAGAGAGGCCCTGGCATAGGGGAGGGCATAGGGCTAGCGGTGACTTCTGTGAAGGACTCTTACCCAGGGGTTGCTCCTCTGGTGACCCTGGGGCCCGTCACCATCTCTCTGCTGCTCTGGATCCCCCCAGAGCTGCTCCCAGAGCCAGGCTGTGGCACGGGGACTCGGCTGTGCCCAAAGGCTTCTCTGCAGGGCACAGGGGCTGCAGGTGACAGCAGAAGTCAAGGGCTTAGCCAGGAGAGGAGAATGGGTCAGGATCCAGCAAGGATCCATCCCTGCAAGGCTCCAGTGCCCCTGTGCTGCTGTCTCCCACTGCAGCATCCCCACCATGCTCTCGGTGCACTGTGAGCAGCTGAACAAGACTGGCTTCCCCACCGTGCATGCCGTGGTGCTGCTGGAGGGCACCATGAACCTCACGGGAGAGACCCAGCCGCTGGTGGAGCAGCTGATGATGGTGAAGAGGATGCAGGTAGAGAGGGGGCAGCTCGTTCTCCTGCTGGGGACGGGCGGCGGGGCCGGGGCCTCTCTGCAGCTCTGTGCTGGTGCTGGTCCAAGGGTGTGGGCGCAGCTGTGGGGAGCAGCGGGGTCCCATCGACACCCTCACGGGGGGCTGGGGCTTTGGCAGGGGCTGCAGAGGCCCTTTGTTGCCTTTCCAGCACTGAGGGGGTTTGTCTGCGTGCCCCGCAGCGCATCCCCTCCCCGCTCTTTGTGCTGGAGATCTGGAAAGCCTGTTTTGTTGGCCTCATCGAGTCCCCAGAGGGCACAGAGGAGCTGAAGTGGACAGCATTCACCTTCCTGAAGGTAGAGCCCAGCCCCGTGCCGTGCTCCCAGCCCTGGGCCTGCTGCTGCCCTTGCCCTGCATGCCAGGTCCCTGCTGAGCACCCAACCCTGGCACAGTGATTCCCTCTCTGCTCCTGGCCCCCCAGCCCCTGGCTGAGCCCCCACAGCCCTCCTGCAACTGGCTGAGTGTCACTTTGCTGCCCAGGGCCTCCCTCCAGCCCAGCCCCACGCTGGTTTGCAGAGTGGCTTTTGCTGGGGTGTTGTGGGGGGAATTGTGGCCTCTCCAGTGCTGAGTCCAGGGGGACAATCCCTGCCCTAGTCCTGCTGGCCACACTGGTGCTGATCCAAGCCAGGATGCTGGTGGCCTTCTTGGCCCGGTGGAACACACTTGCTCATTTCCCGCTGGCTGTCGCCCAAACTACCCGAGTCCTTTTCCACCAGGCACTTTCCAGCTGCTCTGCCCCAGCCTGGAGTGTTGCAGAGGGCTGTGGTGACCCAAGGCCCTTGGCCTTGTTGATCCTTTTCCCACTGGCTTTGACCCATCGATCCAGCCTGGCCAGGTCCCTCTGTAGAGCCTCCAACCCTCCAGCAGATCAACACACCCACCCCACTTAGTGTCATCTCCTAACTTAGAGAGTGCACTCAGTTCCCTTGTCGAGATTAATGATAAAGGTGTTGAACAGAACTGGTCCCAGTACTGAGCCCTGGGAACACAGCTTGTGACTGGCCACCAGCTGGATTTGACTCCCTTCACCACAGCCCCTTGGTCTGGCCAGTTTGCAGCTTCTCGCAGGCGTGTGTGGTGTGGGCCCTGCCTGGGGGGGCCCTGACTGCAGAGCAGGGTCAGTCACGTCGTTCCCTCTGTCTTTCAGATCCCACAGGTCCTGGTTAAACTCAAGAAGTACCCCCAGGGGGAGAAGGTGAGTCCTGGGGCCGTTGATCCGAGCTCTTTGCCAAGCTGTGAGCACCAGTGAGCTGTTTGTCAGTGGGGGTGGAAAAGGGTCCCTGTCCCAACAGCCTTCCTCTGGCGACAGGGTGCTGTGGGAGGGGCAGGGGGGCTGGTGGTGGCTCTGAGCTGAGTGCTTGGCTTTGTGTGGGGCAGGACTTCACTGAGGATGTGAACTGTGCCTTC